GCCTTTGGACTAGGGAGAGTTGCTGGCGTGGAGGTCTGGGACCCCCCCCCTTCCCCCTCCCGAGGAGAGGGGGAGTTGCGCAGACGGATGTGCGGCAGTTGTGGTGACGTCATGTTTGTTTCCCAGTTTTTGATTGGGGGAGTTCTGTTTGCTTTTTCGTCTTTCGATTTGCACATTTTTGGCCAGCAGTAGTTTGTTTTGAAATTCCTACCTTTCTGGGTGCCTGACCTGGTAGATGGCAGACAAAGACTGCTTCCAATTACACGGGGGATGTCTTTAGGCCATTGCTCCTCGTGCCTCTCTTGAGGGGGCCAGGTTCTAGCTCTGGTCCGCGGTAGGCTTAGAACTCCTTCGATTGACTGTTGCCACGGTCTAATATATACACATCAGCCCGGTATAGCTCCAAGGAGCCGAAGGGGCTCTCCACAGAAAGGGCAGTGAAAAGCCTAAGAGCCATGGCCCGGGCAGAGGCCAACAAGGAACCGAGCACCACGAGCCGGAAACCGAGATGCGAAGTGAAAACAATGACACCGCAACCCGCAGAAGCGGCACCACCAGCCCCGGCAGGGTAGAACGAAGCACACGTCGCTGAGGAAGGAAGGAGAACAACAAAAGACATGTACTGCACTAAAACAAAAACATACTGTTCGAAAAGGAACAAAGAAAAGCCGTAGCCAGGGCCAGAAGCCAAACGCCCCCGGCCCCAACGAAAAGGAACGGCAGGGGCAGGAGTGGGTGATCGGAAAGCTATATATACACCAGCAGACATCGCAACACAGAAGCTGGTAGTGACAGACAAGGAGAAGAGGAAGAACTCAAAGCTACACCGGAACACCAGGCCTGTTCTACCACAGGAAATGGGATAAGGAGACATCCCAACCTAGCACGAGCATGAGAATAGCCAATATGCATCTACTAAGATACACAACAATGTGTAAGAGAGAGGTAGGAAGACGTAAAAATGGAACGAAAAGACCCGAAAGACAGTCCGAGCGCCGGAAGCCAGGAACAAGAGCAGAAGCAACCGGCAACAGAAGGCCCATGAACCATATACACAAACTAGTAGCGAGGAAAAGACAAGACACTCGCCCAACTCAAGTGCCAATGAGAGAAACAAACCCCACATGAGCACCAACACCTAGATCCCAAGAACAGAAAACGTGGCTTCCAACCCATAGGAGGAAGGGGAGGGGGTACAAAAAGCATACATACACGCCGTACATATAAAAGGCATATGTATGTGTATGTGGAAAGTACATACAAGCCCTATGTCAAAATCCAACCAGAATGTCAACTGGGCCAACCCACGCTCTACACCCTCACAATGGTCACCCAAGGCAAAATCGGGGAACGCCCCAAGAATAATGTGGACAACACCTCGAGAACTAAGTAAACCAAAAAAGCCAAAGCTAGGAAATGTCAGGTTAGGTTAGGTTAGGTTAGGCTAGGGCAGGGCAGGGCAGTGTCGTGCCACTGCGCCATGTGGACATCAAGTCAATGGGGAAATGTCGAACATGAAAATCAGCGCTCGCCGATGTCAAACCCGGGCGACCACCTAGGAAACGCAACACATGGGCCAACCCAACTGCTATCTGGGGTAAGACATCATTATGGTTCGGAACGCACAATAGGGTGCAGCCAGGCACTGAACGAAGGGCAATTAAAAAGCGTCCAGAGTCCTGGCCGACAAAGTCACCAGACCGCAAAATCTCACCTGGAGAGCAGAGGCACTATCGGGTTATAACACAGCATAGCCGTGTCATGGTCTGAGAGCATGGCAAGTAGAGCATGTCCAGAGATGCGTGTGCAGATCAGGTGCAGTGGAGAGGTGGAGAGGCGGAGGAGGTGCCACTCCTAGCCATCCCACACACATAAGCAGAGAAGTAACTAGATGTGTCCCCCACACAGAACCCAGAAAGACCCCAAGAACCAGGGGCGATGACTGGAGAGAGATGAGCAAGAGCAGTGTATAACCCGGGAGAAAGCACACTGAACACCGACACATGCTCTCACCAACCAGAACAAAACAATCACCCACGGCGCACGCACAGGACACACGAGGTCCGGGCTGCACCATTTTTTCCCCGGGGAGGATGCCAACAAGGAATACGGAACCATTAACAGTAATGGCGAGACAAAGAACGGAAAGAGGCGACAATTAAAATCGGAAACAGCATCGAAAGAGGAGAAAAAGGACAGAAGAGTACCAACTAGTCCTAGAAAGGACTGGAGGTAAGCCCCACCGGAGGGCGACAGACGTTCCAATAATGCACCCAATAGCATCCGTGACCAAAGGTCATGCAGGACCTAATAAGACATGGAACAAACCTGGGGAGGGGCCGATACCCAAAGGTAAATGAACAAATCCACAAGGGCCGTGACAAGGATTCGAACCTGCGTTCGAGAGCATCCCAGATGCTGCCTTAATCGACTGAGCTACGACATGGTCAAAAGGAGTTGAAACCAAAGTTCTACTGAACTTACTGAATCCTGCAGCCTCTCTGAGATACAAACCAGGGTTTTACACAACTCCCCCCATGCACTCGAGCTATGTCAATAGGCCGTTCTCCCTCTTCGCCCTTACTTCATTACACACAGAAATCACAATTGCATGATGCATCAAATGAACAAATCCACAAGATTGTGGATTTGTTCATTTGATGCATCACGCAATTGTGATTTCTGTGTGTAACCCAAAGGCAACTCGTTCGTGGAGGGAGAAAGGAAAAACCCCATGTTGACCAGACCACACACTAGAAAGTGAAGGGACAACAACGTTTCGGTCTGTCCTGGATCATTCTCAAGTCGATTGTGACCGACTCTGGATGGACCGAAACGTCGTCATCCCTTCACTTTCTAGTGTGTGGTCTGGTCAAGAAAAACGCCACTCATAACAGTAAGCCCCTCTCGGAAGGTCGGAAAACCCAGACGGGGTCCAACAGGGCCCAAGGCCCCCAAGTCAACCCCTCCCCAACCCCGGGAACCCCTACGTCAGGCCCCAGGGGAGAGTCGTCCTCCAAAGCCCCAGCCTCAAGAAAAACGCCAGGCCGGCCGAAAATGCAGGAAGAGAGCAGGCCCACTAGTCAGACCCCCAAAACTACGGTTGGAGGAACAGACTCGAATGCCTCCGACGGAACCCCGGAAGGGGCAACCCCCGAAACTGCCCGAATCTCAAACCTTTAAACCCTGCCCCGACCCCGAAGCCCGCAGACGCCTAGGAGCCGGATGCAGGGAAAGGGGGATACCAAGTGAACCACAGCAGGGAAAGAACGAGGGGGCGCGGACTGAACCAAGAATGACACGGCCAACACCCCCAAGTCCAGGCCCGGAGAAGCAAAATGGAGCAGCCTCGGGGCATCCGGGAAAGCAATCAAACCAGCACGTTGCAACAACCTAACCGGCAACATACGAGCCGTCTGCACCCGAAGAATGTGATCAACAGATAGGATGATCGGAGCCACAAACAAGCAACAAAGCTCGCAGGACCCACGGTCGAATGTGTCACCGACCCAACAGGCAGCATGACGGAGGCAAAAACAAGGAGCGTCACCCTGAGACAAGGGGACAGAGCAACCCTCAAACTCGAGCAACCCGAGAGGGGACACAGGTGTCTCACCCAGTGGACCCGAGTGACCCCGCGGGGTTTCCCAGGGCCCCTAGACTGGGTCTGCTAAGGGTTATCCCAGACAGGGTACTGCTAACCGGCACCCCAAACTACCAGGCAAACTTCTAAAAGCTGAACTCACAGGACGTCTCCACTCATGAGGGTGAAGTAGGGATGCCACCACACAAACGACCCTAAGATAAGGGGAAGGGAGAACACTAGGAAAACACAAAACGAAAAAAAAAATCTCGCAAGAGGACAACGTACCCTTAGAGAACAGAGCCGGCCGCTGTTAAAGATGAAAACTAGCTATGCAGTACTCCGCGCCTCACCACTGCAATAACTACCACTTACCCCAAGCAAACAAGGGCAGAACCCCCCCCCCCACACTCGGGGCGGCCAAACGCCAAGCAGCCAAAGGCCAACAGAGTTAGACCCAAGGTGACTTACCTGCTTCATACCTGCTTGATGGGGTTCTGGTTCTACTCCCCAAGCCCGGCCCCGAGGCCAGGCTCGACTTAAAAGAACCCCAAGCCCCAAGGATGAAACTTGCAGGGCACTCAGGGAAGGTGATCCTAAGCACATGCAGCCCGAGTACCTGAGAAATTACTCCCAACTCGCACGCCACTGGAAGAGCAGTACTGAAACCAAGAACAGCACTGAGAGAAGACTGGAGTTGGAGCCACACAACTGTGCACGATCCCATCAGCCGAGGAACTGAAGTGTGGATCGCCGGCGCGAGGGTCTGGGGCTCTTCCCCCTCCTGGGGAGGGGGGGAGCTGTGCAGACCGGTGGCACGGCTCATGTGGTGTCATGCTTGTTTTTACTCTTTTTTTTTGAGAGAGAGTGAGTTCTGTCCACTCGCTTGGCGATTTTCATTGTCTTAACCAGAATAAGGGTTTATTTTGTGGTGCTTACCTTTCTGGGTGCCTGTCCCGGTTGATGGCAGATATAGAATGCTTCAAATCACATGTATATTTCTATGGGCCATTGCTTCTCGTGCCTCTGTGAGGGGGCCAGGTTCTGGCTCGTGGTCCCCGGTAAGCCTAGAACTCCACCCACATCAACTGATGCAAAATAGTTAGGGTATCCATATCAGCCTGGATAGCTCCAGGGAGCCGTAGGGGCTCCCCCCAGAAAGTGCAATATAAACTGCATGGGCAACAAACCTAAGAACCACTGACAGATAGGTTTAAAAATAACTTCAAAATTTTAAACCTTTATGATTTAAACTGCTTCCTAGGCATTAAAATTTATATAAAACAATGAATAATAACAGCAAATATTTCAACTATATAAAATAAAGGAACAAATTTTCTTAAAGGATTTTTGTTATACTCAAATAAATGCATCATACCTGAGGCTCTAACTTAAGGAATCTTTGAACTGCTCTTACCTGAAGAACAACATTGCAGTAGTCATTGGCCTTGATATTATTAAGACCAACTATGCCTGGCAAGTATAAAGTGCCATCATACGCACGACTCATCTTGCTCTGGTTCACTTTATGAGCAATGTACTCTCTTGAGAAGGTTGGGTTCACCACAAAGATTATATCATTTAGTGAGGAGTCTGCAAAAGCAAAGGAAAGGCATGAAGTCATCCTACAACATATGTCAAGTAGAATTAACATTTCTACGTAAATTACAATATTTGTATGCACAAACAAATCACATTAATGTGATGTATCAATGAGAAAATTAGTAGAAGCCGTGAGGAGGATTCGAACCTATGCTCTGGGTACTGCCAAGCACACGCCTTAGACCACTGCACCACGACATGGTCAAAAGCAATGCAACCTGGGATTGAAGTAAATCCTCTAGGAGTCCTGAGGATAGGTCTGAATCCTCTTTGTGGCCCTCTAGTGATTTTCCTACGATATTATAATATTACAGCCATTTATTACACAATTATTTATCCAGTAACGTACAGAATATAAAAATCCAGCATTAAATTAATGCAACACCTCTTTCTGGGTGAGCCCCAGTGGCTCCCTGAAGTTATAAACCCAGTTGGTTCCCATGTACCATCAGCCGGGGAGCTGTAAGGCCTACCAGGGAACAGCGCCAGAATGTGGCCCCCTTCAAAGAGGCACAGGGAGCACACACATTTCACCACCTCACCAGGCAAAGACACCCAGAAACTCAGCGAGTCAACACACACCACTACAGGGTTCAAAGGAAACTGAAGCCTCATAAACTGCCTAATGAACTTCTCTAACTATGTAGACATACTCGAAACTCTGTATGAGCACATATGCCTCGCCTCCCCAACTCATTTGGAGGGAGAGGGGCTCACCACCTCCAGGGGTCTGAGTATACTTTACATAATCCTGGCCATGGAACCAACAGAACCATTCTTAAAGGAACAACAGAGCTACCTGCTCTTAAATGAGCTTTCCATACTGTACTGTACTGTACGGTACTGTACATTACACTCCAATCTTGATTTTTTGAAAGCACAACATATCACACTAATAAACTTATACTAATATGTTAATTATCAATATCTTAATATTATTTCATTAGGTAGCACAAAATAATTACCAATGATCTCATAATTATCAGGAAGACAGTAGAACCGAAGTGTCTGCAAATTGAGATAAACATGGTGGCCATCCGATACGCTGTGGGTGTAGGCATGGGTATTGGGGCCACGTCCTGTAGAGATGAAAAATTAATACTTTACCAAAATGTGTATGATAAATAGAGAGCTGTAGGATATATATTTACATGAAAAATGCTAAATACTGTATATGAATGATTTAAACAAAAAAAAACATTGAATGTAATGAAACACCATTTCCTGGGCGAGTCCCGGAGGCTCCCTGGAGCTATACCGGGATGATATGTATATACAGTATTAGACCATGGCATATGTCAATTTGATTAGAGTTTTAGCCTACCAGGGACCACGGGCCAGAACCTGGCCTCCTCAGAGAGGCACGAGGAGCAATGGCTTATAGAAACCCCCCATATAGTTGGAAGCATTCTATATCTGCCATCTACCGGGTTAGGCACCCAGAAAGGTAGGTGTGTCTAAACAACTCCATCTGGTTAAAAATTGCTTCCAAAAACAGAATTATCAAGCAGAACTTCACAATATGAAAACAAGCCAGCAAACATGTTACAACCACCGCCGCACTGCTATATGCACAATTCCCTGGTCCCTGAGAGGGGAAAGGAGGGAGCCACAGATCCCTCACACCAGCTATCCAACCCAGTTCAGAGGCTGTATATCAAAACATGAAAAACTACCGACCAGAGGGAGGGAGGGTTGCTTGGAAGCCTCTGGGGCTCACCCAAAAAATGGAGTTTCATTACATTCAATGGTGATTTTCTGTGGAGCGCGTCCCTGGTCACGAAGGCCGTGGCGAGCAAATAACAGTGAAGAGTCGCAACCGGACGCAACACATGATGCCCCCTCGGCAGAAACAACCAAGCACCAACTACCCAAACACCCCTCCGGAAACCTGCTGTCTCATTCTTCGCTAGAAAAGGAGACAGCTGCAAACGAAACAAACCCCAGAGGCCAATGCCAACAAGAAAAGACACTTGTCAAAACAACCCCAAACCAAAGGGGCCACAACCCTAGAGGCCAATGCCAACAAGAAAAGACACTTGTCAAAACAACCCCAAACCAAAGGGGCCACAACCCCAGAGGCCAATGCCAACAAGAAAAGACACTTGTCAAAACAACCCCAAACCAAAGGGGCCACAACCCCAGAGGCCAATGCCAACAAGAAAAGACACTTGTCAAAACAACCCTAAACCAAAGGGGCCACCACTAATCGAGGAGAGGAGAAAAGAGAGCACCCGGTCCAACGACCAGGACAGCTCAGGTGGCACACGAGCAGACCAGAGGTGAAATAACGCACGAGACAGCTTGTGAAACAGAATAGAAGTAACTTCCATCCCGAATGCAAGCAGGAACAGCTCCGCCAGCACCACACAATACAAGGTGACAGTATAAGGCATAAGATGACGATCCTGAAACAACCAAGAGACAAGACAACCTGATCGAAAATCGATGACAGCCTATGAAGAGAGAAAAAGTAACAAAGGGACCGCTAGGAGACTTCATACTGTTGCCGAGACGAAACACACAGGTGGGACACCATCAAAGAAGCCACCTGATCACCATACAAGTGGTGATAAACCCGTGTCAGAAAAACCAGACACAAAGATCGGAGAAGATAAAAGCAGCTATGTACCAGACCGGACAGATCTGCTGAAAGAAGTGGAGCCACTGAAAAGTCCCCGGGTTCAGTCACCGAGCAAGCAGCACCAGAAACCAAGGCTGGGCTGGTAATCAAGGGACGAACAGGACTACTCTCCCTCTGATAAGTCTCCAATCGAGCCAGAACCGGGAGCAACAGCTGAACCAGCGGGAAGAGGTACAGGTACCTAGGCCAGTCCTTCCAAAGAGCATTGACCCCAGGGGGAAGAACGCCACATATACTGGGAAACGCCTCGACCATGCCGACGCATAGGTCCACCTCCAGGCTCTAATATGTCCGGCAGAGCCAACTGAGTGAGTCAGCGTCAACCGTCCATTCCATGGACAGGGAAATGAACTGGGATAGGCCATCCACCAGGACATTGGACACCCCCTGCATGTTAACCGCCAGGAGAGCCAAACCTCGAGAACTCAGCAAAGGAGTCACCCAAAGAGATTAGCCCCAAAGAGTCAAGAACTGCATTGAACCCTCTCAGATCAAGCAATGAACCACCAGAGTGCAATCTAAATGCACTCTGGTGGTTCACTCAATAAGAGTGTACTCAATAAGAGTGTAAGTAAATATCATTTAAGAAGATTAAGAAAGGGAGGCGACGGATATGGATAGGATATATTTGTACTGTATCTTCCTCACTAGGAACAAGTAATCCCTTAGACGCCTAAATTAATCAATAGATTTCTGAAATAGACTTTGTTAATATTTTAATGGCACAGCTGGGCACAAAGCTCAACCATGAATAGTACAGTAACAAAAGCACTTACCCTGGAAATATTTGCCACATACTAGACAGGCATAGACATTGATTCTAGACAGGGACACACTGCATAGTTTCTCAAAATCAAAATCAAGCATGTGACGATTAATGGTGTCCAGATATGGGCAGAGACGTGATTTTTTTTCTGGAAGGAAAATATAAAATATTAGTTATTTAATAATGAACATGCATGAATGAACTATGGTAAAAATTAAAAAATCGACCTGATAATGATCCAGGACGAACCAAAACGTCGTCATCTTCTCCTTTTCTGGTGTGTGGTTTAGTCTTCATATATTCAGCCACATTATTGTGATTCATCATCTGCAACAGCTTAACCTATTTATTAACCCTTGTGTTGCTCAGGGCTAATTAGCATTTGTCACCCACAGGCGCATACCAAAATTCTTCTAAACCTGTTAACACTTTCGCGCGCCCGGTGAAGGTAAAAAAAAAAGCTGTATGTGCGCGGCGTTTTTGTCGCTTAAGCGTAAAAACAAAAATGTGTATACTGTACTCTTTTTACTCTCCTGACCTTAGTTCTCGAGCTACGTATTTCATTTTGGTACCAACGTGTTCGCAATAAAATTCTCTACAAGAACATCAGCAAAAAAAGTAACAAAACGTATAGGGATACCAGCACCAAATAAATAACTACGAAGATGACTCGCCGTGAGCGCCCAACAGCAACAAAATGTTTTTACTCTTGGGATTGTTATCACCTCCACACTTGTCCTACAGCGTTAATTTTGGTATCAATGGACTCGCAATGAAATTCCCAACACGGTGATATGAATATAAACATAGAATAATGGTCGCGGCCCACCCGCAAGAGTGTGGGAAGTGGTGGAACTGTTACCCGGTATCGGTGACGGGACGACACATGTGCGATACGCCGCTTTGAAAGTTTATACTTATTTCACTGTCCTGACATTATTATTCTATGTACGTCATTCATTTTTGTGTCAATGTGTTCGCAATAGAATGTTCTATGAGCCCATAGGTAAAAAAGATTAACAAAGCGTAAGATAGAATAGCGCCAAATATAAAACAACGCTGGAACATATCAGTGAGCGTCAAACACACACGAAATGTTTTTACTTTTGTTATGTTTGCCAAGTTTATACTTGTTGCACACAGTTATTTTTGGTTGTACATTGATCAGAATAAAATTCCTTAAACAGACATATGCATATAATACATGATATGGGGGAAGCATTACCAGTATAAACGGCTAAAGTCACCCATCTGCAACCCGTTTGGGACACTCATGCAGACACACGTTACACCTAAAAAAAAAATCTATGAAGGTTCGAGTCTACTTATGGCAGTTTATGTGATACAGTGTTCATTCTGGTATCAAAATACTCGTTTCAGTTTGTAGTTCATGCAATTTTCAGAATCAACTGAATCACTGGAGATTCAACATTTGAGTCAGTCAGTCATCTGACAAAACCGTCTCGTCAAATGGCAGTGTGCCAGACATCTCGGGTTCTGATTCGTTGCTGCTTCAGCTTGAGGTGTTGAAGTGAACAAGGGCCGCCTCACACCAGATGGTCCAGGAGTTTGCATGGCGTCAACATAGGCAGGACCTGTGTCATCATTTATGTCTGGAGCGTGCCGCAAGTGTTGAGATACTGTTGCTGTTTGAGGCCAATCTTCCGGGTCCCAGCGCAATAGGGCCCAAATTGCCACCTCGTGGAACTGTAGCAATGTTAGCTTTTTTTGATCAGTTGTGTTGTATTTGTACAAAACAAAGGCATTATGCAAAGCCATTTGCAGGAAATAAAACGTTATCTTTTAGGTCCACTTGCGAGTTTTCCTGGTAAAATGGTAATACCATTTGATCAAAGTGGTCCACACCTTTCATGAACTTATTGTACCATGCAGCCTAGTGGTGAGAAAGAGAACCTCATGGCGCGCAGTTTGAAACAAACCCAAAGTAAATCGGATTAAAATTGAATTTTATACAAATATTTTTTTCAGGACATTTTATGTCCACATCGCGGAAGCGGGTAGGCGAAACAGGACTCCAGGTTATGTCCTGATCCGCACAAAGTGTTAATTTGTGTTCTCTGATCATGGGGAAAATGATAAAAAAAATCATAAGTGGTATATATTGCCCGCTATGGGGCGGGAAAGTCTGGCAAAAAACAGGCGCTTACTTAGCGTGCGTCCCAGACGGTCTGTTGCTCGCCAGCTGTCAGGCAGGAGTGGCCACAAAGAGATAATTACCTAATTATTTCAATGTCTCTAATTGATTTTTCGTAGTTTTTTTGCTGTAATATTATTCAATAGTGTGTAGTGTGATATATTTATATAATAAAATGAGTGAATCATCGCTGTACTAAAAAATATGGTGTGCATATTGTTGATTCAATTATTATGCTCATCATACAGTGAACAAATACTTTGTCGGTTATTACACTATATACACAGGTTATATATAAGTATCTGCATGTTTTGTTCACCATAACGAACCACTAAGTTATGAGTCAAAAAGCAACGAGGAGTGACTGCCACACACCAGCCAGCCACTCGCTGCCACTCACTCCCTCAACACCTCACTCACCCACATTCTCCTCCCACCATACTGTTTTTGCTTTAATTCACGATATACAGACATTATATACAAGTATCTACATTCAAGTTCACCATAACGAACCACTAAGTTGGCATGCTGAGTGGCAGTGGCAGCCCGCCACTGGCTGCTACTTCCTCCCTCCCTCACCTCCTGGTTGATACCTGGTTGATGGGATTCTGGGAGTTTTTCTACTCCCCAAGCCCGGCCCGAGGCCAGGCTTGACTTGTGAGAGTTTGGTCCACTAGGCTGTTGCTTGGAGCGGCCGCAGGCCCACATACCCAGCACAGCCTGGTTGGTCCAGCACTCCTTGGACGAGCACCTGACGCGCCCACATTCTCCTCCCACCATACTGTTTTTGCTTTTATTCACTATATACAGACATTATATATAAGTATCTACATGTTTTGTTCACCACAACTCTACAACTAAGTTGATATAGTTAGTTCAGGCACTAAGAGATGTCGCTACACACAGTCAGCTGGTGGCTGCTTCCCCTCACACATTCAAGGTCAGATACACTAAAATTTCACCCCAACAATACTGTTTGTGGTATTATTGCCCTATATACAGACGTTATATATAAGTATCTACATGTTTTGTTCACCATAACTGTTCAACTAAGCCGGTATAATGCCCAACTAGCATAGTGGCCACCCCTACCAACATGACAAATCATGCAGATGTTGCCACACCCATCACCAAAATGGTTTCTCCCCCACACTCCTTTTGCTGTTATTACACTGTATATACAAGTTATATATAAGTACAGTATCTACATTCATGTTCACCATAACAAACCACTAAGTTGGTATGCTGAGTGGCAGTGGCAGCCCACCACTGGCTGCCACTCCCTCCCTCACCTCAACTGACTCGCCACCATTCTCCTCCCACCATACCGTTTTTGCTTTTATATACAGACGTTATATATAAGTATCTGCATGTTTTGTTTACCATAGCGAACAACTAAGCTGGTATAGTGAGTCCAGACAGTAAAAGGTGGTCACACAGAGTCAGCAGACAATGCTACCTCCATCCCCACCAAGATTACTCCTCCCACTACAGCGCTAATTATCGCAACAATCCTGCAATTATCAGAATCCTGGTCATTTTTATCACAGTCAGGGGTCTTCTTTAATAATATCATCGCTAAATAATAGCATGAACATGCATATTATGGCATTTTTAGGTGATGCTGTGGTCACAAGCTGAACAGCAGTGTTGTGAGCACATGCTGCATGCGTCAGGCTTGGTGGCTCACTCAATACTGAGGCCCCTCACACCCGGGAATTTGGCCCACGATTTTTTTTTTTAAATGACGTCTGTTTACAAGAGCCCTGATGAAGGTGAGGTGAACCCCGTGTATCCGCGGGCTGTTTAAATCTTGCATAGTACTCCAATACATCATATGATGGGATGCGCAATTTATAGCAAGTCACTCAACCCATCATATGATGTGTTGCGCAACTTAAGGGTTAAAGAACACACTGTCAAGGAAATTAATATCAGGTCGATCATGGTTTGTAGCCTCTATTGATAACTAAAAATAAGAAAATGCAATGAAATACCAAAGTGCAAAAAAACAGCACTGAATGTGATGAAATCCTTTCTGATGGATCCTAGGTGATGTATTGTTGCTAGCTATCCAATTCAGTCCACTCCCGGCTCTTGCAAGTCATTATAAGTGTACATCGCGTATGCATCGCGTCTGTCCTCTTCTATAGAGGCACAAGAAGCTGAGGATACTACATCAATTTACCCAAGAAAATGCCATCAGGATGCTGAGGGAGACAATTTAGACAATCAGCAAGGTAAACAGAACATAGAAAACAAGAAACATGACAAAATCAAACCACCAGATGATGAAGCAGTTCACTCATTTTGACCAGACCACACACTAGAAGTTGAAGGGACGACAACGTTTCGGTCCGTCCTGGACCATTCTCAAGTCGATTGTGAATGGCTTGACTTGAGAATGGCTTGACACAATTGACTTGAGAATGGTCCAGGACGGACCGAAACGTTGTCGACCCTTCAACTTCTAGTGTGTGGTCTGGTCAACATACTTCAGCCACGTTATTGTGACTCATCGCCTGCAGTTCACTCATTAGTTCCCCCTAGTGTGTCCATTAAAGGACTACACACTCAACTCGTTGATCCCCTAGCTCAGTCACCAGCCAGGAAGATGGATAAAAAGAAGCCCCTAAATGAGGAAGAGAGGGTTCTATGAGCCACCGAGGACTCACCAGAAACAGGGTTTTCAGTGAGGAATCGTCTGGTAGCTCCTTGTCTCTATGTCACCAAAGAGAACAAAACAAAAGGGGTACTCACCATAGGTTGGAAAACTGCAGATAGTAACCTCTGTGTAAGGGAAAATTAGTTATGAGTTAACTGCCTCACAGCCACACAAACCCTGAGCTGACCAGGTACATTTGCTAAATACCAATATGTTGGACCACCACTGATGGACCCCCAAAACTCTGAGACAAAATATCTGCCCTAGACATATTCAAAAATAGCACAGACCGAGCTGAAATCTTACAAACATCATGGGCGCCAGGGTA